GGGAATGGGGAAAAAATAAGAACCAAGATACATCATGTAAAGGTACAAGATCCCAATGATGAATGTAACTGTACTGTATACCTAAAATGTACCAATAAACTAAATAGAAAAAAAGATAAATTATCTATGAGTTGGAAAATAATAAAACAAGTATTAAACTTTCTAACAGAATTATGCACACAGAAAAATAAACCAGCAAACTACCATGTTCAAGTGAATTTAGCAAGGTTTCTGGGGATAAAGTTATCAAAATAATAAATTATACTTTCATGTGGGCATACTAAAAAGAGCATCTTAAAAAGTAAATAAGTACAATAAACTCAAAAACCTCATTTACTTAGGAAAAATAATAGATGTGGAAGCTACTGTATTAAAAACAAAACACCAAGAAAATTAAAAAACAAATAAGTTGAAAACATAATCATGTCCATAAGTTGAAAGATTTAACGTCATGACATCACTAATTTCCAAATTGATCTATATATTTAATATACCCTGATAACAATCTCAGAACAGTCTTTTGAGAAATTGAAAAGCTGAATTTTTAACATTTATTTGGAGATAAAAACAACTAACAAGGGCCAGAAAACAATTATTAAAGCAGAATAAATTTGAAAAATGCCAGTTATCAAAACATACTATAAACTTTTTAACCTCAAACTGAAAACAGCACAAAGCCTATCAAGGTGCCACACATTTGAGTTTTGCACTTATATTATCTTGTGTTGGTAGAGGATTGAAACCATGGGGTGAATTTGGGAACTATAAGAGAGCACTGAAGTTCAGTGTAACAGAAACAAGCTTACCTTGGGAATGAAGTAGTTTCTGAATCTGAGGTTACAGGTTGCTGCACGGGGTACATTGTTGGGAATGAGGTTAATGTACCTCTGGATCTCATGCACCATGGCATCTGTATAGGGCATGTGACTCCTGTCTTGCATGCAGGGGCTCCGGTGTCGGCCAATCACACGGTCAATCTCTTCTTGCACTTTAGCTGATAAGACACAATAAAGAAATGATAGAATAAGAGAAAAAGGTACAATTGTCATAGCAATGCAAGCTTATGTGAAGCATGATGAACGTGTGCCAACAGCATCATAAGGTTATCAGTACACCTAGAATTAGATAGATAATTGCTATGTTATGTATACATATAACTCTCCTACAACCTAAGCATTAAGATAAGTCTGCACATACCTAGACATTACTCTACATGATAATCAATACCAAAAAATGATGAAATATTTCAATATTTAAATATCTTATACACATGGATTCCAGAAATTACTATCTGTGCAGAAATGAATGAACACATATGAAGAACACATATTAACTTCATATAAAAGTAATAATGGTCCTTAATGGTCCAAATTCAATTCTAGATTTAACTCATGAAAAATCCAAATGAAGGACAGTAATTTTTGTTTACTTTTTTAACCAAACTGAACTTTTAAAAGGCTACCACAGGTGTCTGAAAAGAAAGAAAAGTTGTTTTATCTAATACTGCAAGTGGTTTTCATATCCTGGAAATTTAATAGTTTTAGAGTTAAAGACATCTCTTCTTGTTAGAGAAGAAGAAAGCCCTTCACCATTGTGGAATGATGCCCTGGCTTTAAGCTTCACATCATGATTCTATTGAGAATTATATGTGGTACTTATAATTACTCAATTAATTTCTCACTTTGCAATTAGATTTAGCACAGTAAGAATCACTCTGGGTAGATCAAGATATTCTTTCACAACAGATGAATAGTCTATAACACTGTAAGATACCGATCTTTACAACTGTTTAATCAGTTTTATTTTTATACAGTATTAGTGACCTAAGTTATTTTACTGTTGTTTTTGTAAACCAAATGAAATTATAAAAGAAGATCCTGACAGTAGTTATTTTGTACATATGTATATATGTTACCCAAATAATTATAAACAATAAAGATTGAAGTATTCCAGCAAAAAACAATGAATTCTACTAATAGATATGTATTGTGGATGGGTTTGTGTGTGTTGTGTGTGTTTATCTGCAACTTGCAATGGTATGTTTCGCATCCTCACATTTCCCAAAGGCATTCACTATAACATTCTAGAAATTTCTTCTACAATTTAGGTTCACATTTATAAATAATACCTATTTCTACTACTTGATAGTACTATTTTTGGACAATTTCTAAAACTTCCTAGTAATGGTGATGAGGACTTACATCTCCATCACCGCCTCATACAAAATATACAGACACATACACACACACTTTCTGTCACTCCATGTTTCTCAATGTAATTATATCATAATTCATATTATAGCTTCATTGTATACATTGATATGACTTCAGATATCTTGTTCACAAGTAAAACACCTAGAATTATACTTCAGTTTTGGGTTTAAAAGTATCTATTTCAATTCTTAATTTTTAGATGCAAGTATAGAATTATTGCAAATGCTCACATATGTTTCAAACCTCTAGCAATAACTTTCTATTATTAAAAAGATCAAATAATTGACCATTTCTCTTTTGGTTTTGGTGTCTTCCCTCACACCTCAATTTTCTACATGGTCTCTTCCAGGCATGGTGCCCAATGGCCTCCCTGACACTCATCCTCCTCCATGAGCTTGCCTGATTCCTGGAGCCCATGACTTCCTCCACCTCTGTTTCAGACATTTGGATGGAGCACATCTTTTTAGTATCTTCTAAAAAACAAAAAACAGCAACTTTCTTGCCAACTTCTAAGTATAAAAATATCCTTTGTTTATGAATACACAAGATGACAGCTGTTCTTGAGAACTGTGTAACCATTCTGATTCTTAATCTTCATAAATGACCTGATTTATGCCTGAAAGTTTCACTGATTTTCTGCTTTAAACCTGAGTTCTAAAACTCCATAATTCTGTGTCATGGGATGAATGTTTTCATTTCATTCACTTTATCATTTGGTTAGAATTTTCTTTCTAGATGGCAGAAAAAGAGATGTTTCCACTAGAACTACTCATTCTCTGGAGTTTACACTGGCTGCTGAATTTCAGGAACAAGATGGAGAAAAGAGCTAATGGCCTTGGAACTGAGTGGACTCTTACATAACCCTTAGTTTCATCAGTTAATCACATTCTTTCCCTGTCTCTTCGTGTCCCTAAATAGGTCTCTGAGGCTCAGTTTTTCTAGAGAGAGAGCCTCTCTTTCCTTTAGGTGAAAAGAGTTACCTCATTAATGAACAGGTAGAGGGTACCTGGTCAGGGAAAGCCTCCTGTTTTCAGAACATAACTACTATTCAAAGTGCTCTGTTCTTTCAAAATCTAACATACAATGCTAGGCCAATTAATTTTACCTGTGCTTGCAGCACATCCCCTTCCATGAAATCCAGATACTTTATTCAGTGTATGCTGTCAGCAAAATCCAGAGCTTTGATGCTTTTGCTATTGTTCACACCCCACTTCTCTCATTCATTTTCCTCTATCTGTCAGAATTTGTCTCATTTTTATTCTTTCATCATATTTGTAGAAATAATAACTAATAGCACAGAAATTTCAATAATTAAGACTAGGAGAAAAGTTTGGAGATTAGCAGTTCCTCAACTACATCTCTGTTGTCATACCTGTGACCTCTGGGTACTTTAGCAGAAGCAAGAGTCCGTATCTCAGGGTGGTGCTTGTTGTTTCTGTTCCAGCTATAAACAGGTCAGTTACAGTGGCCATCAAGTTTTCAATAGTAAATTCAGAATGCTGACTGTGCTTTTCCTAAAATTGTTATCATCTAATTATTAGTTACCATCATATTAAATTACAAAATAATACAGACAGTTCAAAAAATAAACAAAATTGAAAAATAGACACTATATTATTAATATTACAAAACTTCCAGGGCTGGGATTTAGCTCAGTGGTGCCAGCACCTGCCTCACAAACCCAAGGTCCTAAGTTTGATCCCCAGTACAAAAAAGAAAAGAATATTATAAAACTTCATTGCATGGCAGAATGTGAATTGTTTGAGCCGATCTTCATTTTCTACACCCCTTATTTCTTTCATTTTTTCCTTTTTTTTATTTTTTAATTCATTATGTTTATTGGTACATTTTAGGTATACAATATGATGGTATTCATCATTGGGAATTTGTACCTTTTTGGGGGGGATTTGTATCTTTACATGATATATCTGGGTTCTTATTTTTTTCCTCATTCCCCTGCCCTTCCTTCAACCCTTCCACCCTCCCTATTTACAAAGACTTGATCGTTTCAAAATTCCATTTTGTGGGTTTATTGCAATTATGTTAGCCATGAAAAATACTTCATGTCAACGATATAACAGAAGAAAACTACTGATGCATTTTCTCTTTCCTTCTTCTTACACAAAACACATACATGACAATGGAAGCAATGACACAAATAGGCACTACATAAATGAACTGTCAGGGAAACAATTCAACAGGAAGAGATAACAATTGTAGATATCTATTACACCAAATGTCAGGGCACCCAACTCCATAAAACAAAAACTATTGGACTTTAAAAGACAGATACACATCAATACTATCATAGTAGGGGCTTCAATACCCCACTCTTACAATTGGCTAGGTCAACCAAACAGAAAACAAGGAAATCTCAGAGTTAAACTACACCACTGAACAAGTGGACTAAACAGATATCTATAATGCCTCATTCAACAACAGAATATACATTTTTCTCAAGAGCACATGTAACTTTTTCTAAAATAGACCATAACTTAGGCCATAAAGTATGCTTAAATAAATAAATTAAAATTAAATAAATTAAATAAATTGAAATAATCCCCTGCATACTATCTAGACAGACAAGAGCCTGACATTTTCATTTTTCTCCTGCTGCCTGAAAAGGGAACACAACTTGACCAGTGGCTGCTCCCCACCTTTGCTCTCCCTTAACCCCTCCCCCACCATGAACTGGAACAGTTTGCTTCAGTACCCTTCCTGGCTTTCTAGCAGTGTCCTCTCTGGCTATCAAGCTGCCACTCCCCATTCCAACAAGAGTGCAGATAGTCAGTATGGAGCCCCTCCCTTACCCCACCACTTTAGATGCTACTGTTGCCTTTTTGAAGAAGGAAGAGAACGTCCTGGTGTGGCTAAGATCTCATGCAATTTGCCTTTTATCAGAATATTACTACATAAAAATATTTCATGTGTTCTAATTGTTTAAGGATTCTGATACTACAGATCCATGCACACAGTAAGTACTAAGGTGCTTAACGGGTGTTTCATATATGACTAGTTACACATTCCCAGTAAGTACAGAACTTCCCAATGATCCTCAAAATGCAAGAAAATACTACTTTTACCTGCTCCATTTTGATCAGGAAACAATCAATGAAGTCACGAGGATTGTGGATGTCCAAGGATTCTTGGTGCTCTTTGACTTTTTTCAAAACGTAAGTTTTTATATGAGCAAAATTTTTAAGTACTTTTTTGTGACTCCCTGGGAGATAATCAATGAAAGCAGGGAAAATATTGCAGACCTTAAAGATTAGAAAATATTCATTAGACCCAATGTGGTGATGCAAACCTGTAATCCCAATAAATCAGGAGGCTGTGGGCTGTGGTGGGAAGATTGCTTAAGCACAAGGTTCAAGACGAGTCTTAACAAAATGAGACCCTATATTTTAAAAAATTATTGAATTAGAAACATATGCATCCCCATAATGTAAAAAATGATTTATTACATTCACAAGCAAATATGAAATATGGAAATATGAACACAGACTGGCTATTTGAAGATAGTAAGAAATTATTGATTTTTTTAGGGTGACAAATATATCTTGGTTTTGTTAAAAAAAGAAAGATATTGAAGTATTTATGGATCAAATGTAAGTGATATGTGTGGGATATGCTTTAGTCTGTGGATTGGCTAATATGGTGGTTAAGTGATGAATATACAGGCATTCATTACACTAGTCTGACTACTTTGAATATGTTCACAATTCTTTAAAATGAAAAAGCTAAAAATTAAAACATTAGAAACGTATATTGAAGTCATACATAACATATGACAATACCTAGTATGCTAATAGAAACACTCAGCAAAGTCTTTGTAAATAGGGAAGGGTAGAGGGGGTGAAGGGAGGGCAGGGAAATGGGGAAAAAATAAGAATCAAGATACATCATGTAAAGGTACAAGATCCCAATGATGAATGTAACTGTACTGTATACCTAAAACATACTAATAAAGTTAATGGGGAAAAAATTTTTTAAAAGAAACTGCTCATTCAAAAATAGAAATTTTGGGGGCTAGGGATTTAGCTCAGTGGTTCCAACGCCTGCCTTGCAAATGCAAAGTCCTGAGTTCAAACCCCGGCCCCGCCCCTCAAAAAAAAAATAGAAATTTTTTTCTTTGACTCAATCTTTTCTTGATTTTTCTACTTTTTATTATTTTTGTCTTTCATTTATGAGGCTTCTTGGAGGTTTATATTTTTTATACCCTTTTTTTCCTCTTTTAGATTCTTTTCTCTCCTTTTTTCTTTTTTCATTTCTTTTTTCTCTTCCTTCTTATTTTTCTTTTATTTCTTGTATTTTGTTGTTTATATTTTTTCTTCTTTTTCTCACTTGATTTTTCCTCAACTGTTCTCTAACACTGTTGATTTCCTTTTATACCTCAGTAGGGCTCCCTCCTCACTTTTTCCACCTTTCTAACTCCTAGTATACACTAGCACAGAATATACTAGTATACTAGTAAGCTTTATGAATCTCTAGATAGCTAACTTCATTGTTAGTAGAAGTAAAGTTGTTCCATTAGTAGATACTTACTATAGGTCAATAGTATGTCAATATTTGGTTTGTCTTAGAATTTGTTTGCCTTAGTGTTTACACTATAATTATATATCTCTTTTCTATAGTTAAGGTTGGTACATTATTAGTTCCTAGGGTTTATCGATACTTGGTTTGTATTTGATACTATAAATGATGCTGGTTTTACTATAGCCAAGGTGACATAGCTGTTGGTGTTAATTGCTTGGAATACCAATATATAGGTTGCTTTGGGGTCATTAACAATACTGTGGCACATTCCTGGAAAACTGGGTACTGGGAAAAAAGGAATTAAGATGCATTAGGTACATGTACAAACTCCACACAGGAATGTAAACAGTATGTACTGCAATCATGTACAGTGCTAATTTTAAAAAATATTTAAAAGTTTTAAAAATTTTTTAAATATATAAAAGTGGGAGAAGGTGAGACAATCCCAGCACCAGGAGGAGGCTCCCCAGCCAACATTCCACCACTCCCAGGGCAGAGGAGGTGAGCTGCATGGGTGCCAGCAGCACACACCCCAAGCCCCCACCCCCAGTTGAAATGAGAAGACACAAAAAGAAGC